CTGTTGATTAGGGTGTGGAATTGTACAAGCGGGAAGCACTATGCTCTCATTACTGGAAGTCCTGTCTGATGGTCTCAGAGGCACCAAGTCATCTTGATACTGCTTCGTCCGATAAACTCGTGACTTCCGTCGTTCGTTCGGGGTGTTCACTATCACAGACCCAGCCAGGAGCTGAGAGCGCAGGCGCAACACATCCTCCCTGACGGCTTGACGCCGGATATCGTCTGTTCGTTTCAGATAGTTCGAAATCTGGGACTCTTCTTCTTTGGTTGTTTTTCGACGACGCAAATGTCCGGCGATGAAAGCAACAATGCTCATACCATACACCAGCACTGTAGCGACAGTGAACAGCATCGCCCCTCGGGCGTCGTAGACGCGTGTTGAAGTCGTGTTGGTGGCGAGGGTCACGTCTTCCAGAGTTTCATTACACGGTGTAGTCGCCATACTGGCTTCCACTCAGCCCATGTGTCACCTTATGCTGGCATTGTTCGATCCGTCACTTTTTCTTTAGCCGTACAACAATCAGTTGATATATTCTATTAAGTCGGCTGTGTTATTTGTAAAAGCACATTCGTTTACAAGGCTTCGCTACATGTATGAACCGTACATGACGAAACCTGACGCTAGGGGAGGACCTGGGTAAAAGTACTTGCTGAGAAAAGAAAGCATGTTTTAGAACTTGTTGTATGCGTCTATTTGTGTACAAAGACGGATAAAGACCTGCGCGAATAAACACATGACGATCTTTCGCGCCATTACTCCTTCTACAAAAGAAGATCTCACAGCTAAACGCTGCCATTGAACGTTCCACAAAAGCCAATGGTCCCTGTCAGTGTAAAATGTATGTACATAACAAAATATGTTTATAATGTTCATGATAAAATAAGCATATACATATTCCCTTGATATTATTAAAAAATATGTCAGCGATACATCGAAAATTATATCAATAATAAATTATATCAAATGAATAAATGAGATTGTTTTCCATTTGATCCATAAAGCTGTAAACATTGAGATAAAACATTTTAAAAAATGTTGTTGCAATACATATAAGATTATATATATATATGTGTGTGTGTGTGTGTGTGTGTGTGTGTGTATATATATATATATATATATATGAATATTATTATCAATAATCATATCAAATGAATAAATTAGAGATTGTTTTCCATTTGAACCAAGAGCTGTAAACAATGAGACAAAAATGTATTTATAAAATGTTGTTCCAATACCTATAGGATTTGTTTGTCGGGGTGGAGGCTATACTGAGTGAATACATGAGGGAACTGACCTGTTTAAGGGGAGGTCACATAAGGTGGGTTGTTATTGTAATGTATATAATCAACACTCAACTCAGCACAAACAGAAATATTCAAACCGCGTTATTTCGGGCAGACAAATTGAATGGTGTTCTCTGGAGCGATACCGTCAACGCATAACGTTACGATAACGGGATATTGTGAGGTTGAATAGCCCAGGTAGGAGCGAGCGACCCTGCTGAACACATGCTTGGATTGTACTCGCGTACCACGGTGGCAGCAATAATAGACTCGCGGCTATGTCTGTACAAAACCTTGCCAATAAGTCAGATCTACAAATTCCTGACACAGTTTCTATTCTCGTGTCACCATGGTGGAACCCAACCTTAAATTGATCACAACCACTGAAGCTCTGTTTCATATGATTCAGGATGAGAGTCCATGTCAACGTGTATTGCATTCGTGAAATACAACGACAGCTGAATTGACGTTACTTCTTAAAGTTGTGTAGGAATCAATATTCACCGCGGAAACAACGGCAGACAATAGTAAGTTCTTTATATTACCTAACAAACTGTTAGCAAAGATAGTGTGTATGCGCTCGGACACCGCCATTAACGGAAGATCTTGTTCCAGGTTGATGGTAGCCCAAGATCTGAGAAATACAGGCAACACAAAGTTGACTTTAATATCTTTCCTAAACGACTTTCTGCTGAAACAGGAATGTGATTGTAAAAACTCGAAGTCCATGTGAATTGTAGATGTAGGATGACGTTGGTGTTGATGGGGTGAAGGATGACACAGGCCGTATCTAACGCCGTTCTCAGGATGGTCATAGTATTATGTGCTTTCGCGCGTACAACGGAGAGTACGCCTGTCTTCAATGCCACAACCTCTAACGGAACTACCATCAGTAATGTGTCAGATTCAGATGTATCAGGTTCTGGAAACGCTACACATTCAGTTACCATGAACACTACCGTCAAGCCGGGATGTTCAAAGAAACGTACGACCCAGAAAACGAGTGTTGAGAAAGATTATGACGAAGTTGGTGCGAAGAACTTCATCATCGTGACGGTGGCGGTGTACGCCTTAGTTGGTACACTGACGTTGCTGCTGCTGAGGGTGTGTCGTCGGGCACGTCGGGTTCATAAGTACAAGGACAGGATGGAAGAGCAAGTCAACAAATACCTCAGAGTGTCCAGCGAACTCAAGGATGCCGGAAATCGCTACCGGATGTTGTGTGAGACAGAGAGAACGGCCTTGACCTTGGCCGCAATGTCGATCCCACGGCGACAGCAAAGACCCCAGGGCACAAATCCCTTGGAACTGGACAGACAGAGAAGGAACATATCATTTGATGAAGTTGACAGTGGTAGTGACTCGTTTCTTAATGGTATCAACAAGGCAGAGACATCTTTCTCAGAATCTTCCGACCTTGAGGCGGAACACATGCATCAGCGTATGGGGCGGACCGAGCAGCGTGCCTTAGCGCCAGTAGACGAACTTATAGACGAAACTACATGATATATGGATAAACTGTAAAGTAGCACGTTTGTGATTCCACTGTGAATGTTTCAATACGAAGGTTACAAGACCAGAATCATGAACAAATGATGTTTAGAATGTTTTTTGTAACCGCCCATTTCTACATAATCAGTAAACGACCGAGTGATTTGATCCGAGTGAAACCCCCAATGACCCGTGTTGCTGGCAAATTAAGGATTACATCCATAGACCCGAACCCATCATCAGACTCAAACCCTGGTACATCCAAGGCACACAACCCTGTATGGCGAATTGTGGTCTTTGATACAACTGGGCTGTTGTGATTCATAATGATATAGACATTGGTGTGTACGACTTGAACACCTTGACATGGAGATGTTGATTATGATGATATGGGGTGTACGGTATGAACACCTTGGCATGGAGATGGCGATTATGATGATATGGGGTGTACGGCATGAACACCCTGGCATGGAGATGGCGTTTATGATGGCATCATCATACCCCGAGGTACCAAGTCACCTGTGTTTAAAGACAAAACCATTTGGCGAAAGCAACAATCTTGTTCCATACTCCACTTCTCTTGGGTCCGGTAAATTCCTCACTTTGGGAATGTTGTGTCAGGAATCCGATTCGTCAGATGTTGTGCAAAGATATCAGGGGAGGAGAAGTCCTGTTGTGCGGTGTCAGACAACAAGCACACACATTGTTACGCAGACCGTGTGGGTGGCGGGTGCTCCCGATAAGGCGGAACGGGTTTACCCTTTCTCGAGTACCTGGTGTCATCGCTTATTTACATTGATCCAATCATGTTATGTTCACCTCTGTTTTGTCATTTACGCTCAGTAGAATCTGTATAGTCGGTGACTGGTTATTCTATTTCATTGAATGGACCAGGTGAAAAAGATATGTGCCGTTTACCTGTATTGTTATTATTAAAGCTGACGTAATTGTGGGTCGAACCCGACGATATGGGTGGTTGTTCATGACTTCAACCATTTGTTTTCATTGTCTCAATCGTATTAACATTTAAAAACGTTAATGGCAAAACAGTGAGTGACTGAATATTTCAACGCCGTGTTTGAGAGTATGTCAGTAATGTCGCGACACGTCAACTCATTGTGAAAGGAAATCTCTGTGTGACTCGGGTCTCAGACCTTTTATCACTTATGTGAAACCCGTTAAAATCCCATTTCATAAAGTTCACTTCCTCTTGATAACGCCAGAACAAAAGAGTCGATGATTTAACTCTAACAAGGGATCGGGGTATTACCGCATGAATTGACATTGTTGTTTTATGACACACTATTCAACATTCCAGAAAATCCTTAGCGGCCTATAAAACAAGTTATTGAGTGCATACAAGTTTTTACGTAACAAAACAATACAGTAAAGGGAACAGACTACGTCCTTGTCGAACCCAGTTTTCATAAATGAAAAGAAAATCCCCAAACATATGACTATTGATTAAAATACAAGATAAGATATCTTTAAACATATTTCGTAAAAGCTACTAACGAGAGCCCCAAACCACATCAAAATATATTAAAATATGGCACTTGTTGTTGCCCTGCCTGTGTCTTCTCGGCACTGAGCGGTAAAACAAGGACTAGCTATGGCTGAGACAGAATAATGTGTCCGAGTCAAACTGCAGCATGGTGTCTATTAGGAACATGGCTATAAACCGAAAAAAAACTGTTTAGTATAATCAGCTCTCTCACCTTAGACCCCTTCCCCATTACTTCCACAACCACCTACCAACACACACAAGCATGCGCTTCGTTATATATGTAAAATGTCTTGGTCGTGTTCGCAAAGTAATACTCCCAATTCATCTCTTCCAAAAGCAGTAGGGAGCACAAGAGTGAGTGAGTTGGATTTTACGCCGCTTTTAGCAATACCATAGCAGTATACCGTGGGGGAGAACACCAACTGATGGGCTTCACATAATATTACCGTGTGGGGAATCGAACCCGGGTCTTCGGCGTGACGAGCGAACACTTTAACCACTAGGCTACCCCACCGCCTCAGGCAGCAATTGATCTCTCTATACCGCGGTGCGGTTTAATGAGGGTGGCAGTGACGGGGCGCCGGGTTCAGTGTACTGACATAAGCCAGTCATTCAACTGCGCTTGACACAATGACGCTGCTCAATCAGCTGTTCAGTTAAAGTAGGACACGGGGACAGTTAGGCTTGTATAAGTCGCTAAAGAAATAACCACTAGCATAAATTATAAGAGTAACCTGTCCCTGTGAACGACGGGGTTCGTTGTGCTGTCGGCGAATCTAGACTTGCCGATTATAAAGATAAAGTCACCCTATATCCCTGGGTTAATTGTTCAGTAGAGTCTTAGAGCAAGGCTATCACACAGGCTGCATGTCCGGAAGGAGACTCGCTTCCCAGAACATCGAATGCGGTGGTGATACCCCATTCCACCCAACACTGCCCACCCACTGGGGTCCTCGGTGGAACCCTGAACAAGGTAAGCAGCTCGACAACTCATCTCAACTGCTGAACACGTGAACTTGATGCAGTTTGTGTTACACTTTACATATGTATATGTCGACCTACTTCACAGAAGAGACCATATAATAATCTATTATATGGTCTCTGTTCACAGTATTCGTCTTTGAGAATGCTTCATGTGATGTGGATAATGTGAATTTGATGGCGCGTTTAAGACATACCTATTGTCACTTATTTATGTTTTTTATCGTGTACACTTGTATGTTGTCTCGCCGTAGGTAGTGAGGGACTTACACACCACCTGTGTCGATCGCTGTTGTTGTTGACACGCTTGACAAGTGAAGGCGCAGTGATGTAATGTGATGACTTGCATATTCACGCCATCATTGTTATTGTTATTGTTCATCACCATCATCATTCATCATCATTCTTCCTCATCTTCCTCATCATCATCATCACCATCATCATCATCATCATCAAAGTATTGTTGTCAACAAAGCGATTATCCTCATTTTCTTTATCAGTGATTGATTAGCATATTATCGTGATCGTCAGCGTCGCTCGGTGTCATAAGTGTGTGTCCGTGTTTGTGCGTGTTTGTGTGTACATATAACCGTTGTGGATAAAGTGAATGTGCATGTGAAGTGGTTACAGCGTGAATGCAGTTTTTACAGCGTGGATACAGTGTGGATGCAGCAGTTACAGTTGGTGATAGTCGGCATGTGTCATCCCATGTCCGAGGTATGGATCGCTGCTTATGCAATAAGCCACGGATTAGTATTATCCAGACTCTGTTATCGATAGGCTTGTATCATACAGCTGAAATTATGCTCAAAGGATATTTAGACATGGAAAATCCACATGCGAGAGAACGACAGGGCAAAACCAATGTAGAGAAAAACAAGGCCTTGCCGGTGTCATGTATCGGGTTGTTATCAAAACAGATCTCTTTGGAGGTCCTCGGTCAGTCTGCTACATATGTCATCTTGAATACCCCCAGCTGACCAGCCCTGGCCACAGTATGTAACGATGGAGCTGTAGACATCGACGCCATGGACACTGACTTCGTCGGGATCGCCGAGGCGAGGAAGGGAGAACAGGGCGAAAGCAGACGACAACTGGAGGCGAAGTTCACCGGCTCGTCGTCTGCTCTTCTCAGAGGGTGAGAGAATAGGGTCATATCGCCACGTGATAGAAACAGATGACAAACACAAGTGACCTAATTAAAGGATGAAAAAAGGCATACGCCACATTTTCGGTCAATGTGGATTTATGAGCAGGTCAATAAATCTTTCGATTCGCTTCAAGCAAAACGCTGCACGTTGTTCCCCAGTCAATGAAAGTCACGTGACTCAGTTTAAGTTCACCTGAGTTCAATGTAACAGCTGTTTTCTATTATTTTTCAGTGTGTGTTAATTCTTTTACAACTGCAGATAGAAACATATCGGCTAGATAAGTCCACGCGTCCCGGACACAAAGCATAATACTCTGAAATATAAATAATAATATTTAGCTTGATAAACGCCTTCCTCCTATGTGTTTTAAATGGGGATTTAGGTCCATCAAAAAAACCTGAACCCCTTTTTGTACTGAGTATTTTCGTTTAAGATGCTCCGAATTTGCATTTGAAATGTAAATTTTAAATAGGCAAAATAATATTGGTTTCAACCAACGTTTTATATAAACATATGAAACTGTATTGTGACACAACTCTGTCTTATCTGTCAAGCTATCTGTCATTTTCATACAGAACACGTTAACCACAGGGCGTATGATGTCAACCTAATACCTACTTCACTGTAACTTTAGATTTTATTTATCTAAAGATTTATATTAGCTTTTGCAACCTTCATTGGGACACTTGTACTTCTTGGATGAACTGGGCGGTGGGGTAGCCTTGTGGTTAAAGCGTTGGCTCGTCACGCCGAAGACCCGGGTTCGAATCCCTACATCGATACAATGTGTGAAGCCCATTTCTGGTGTTCCCCGCCGTGATGTTGCTGGAATATTGCTAAAAGCGGCGTAAAACTAAACTCAGTCAGTCAGTCGGTCTTGGATGAACTATTCTTTATGTTTCACGTGTTTATTCAAACTGAAAGACAAAAGAAAGTATGCACTTGAAAATTGGACATGAAGAATATAGATGTACGCACATTTATCAACACGTAACTATGACCCGCGAAGATCTGGTTAGAACTGGTCTTCAGCAACCCATGCAACAGAAGATGAAGGCAGCCATTTTGAAAAACATGTTACTCAAAGGGTAACCACAATTGTTGCATGTATAGTTATTTGTATGACTACACATATGTCCCGAATTTCGTTATATTTCAAGGGGTGGTGAGGTAGCCAAGATCCGGGTTCGATTCCCTACATGGGTACAGTGAAGCCAAATTCTGGTGTCCCTCGCCGTGATATTGCTGAAATATTGCTGGAATATTGCTAAAAGCGGCTTAAAACTCACACTCACTAAATTTTAAATATTGACCTTAATTATAACTTTTGACTCGCCTTACTAAAACGAATGTTTGTATGTGCAGGCCTTTCGTCCAGCACAACTTCCTGGTCAGGTGTGGAAGATGCCTGAGCACATTGAACCCAGCCAGTGATCAGTGTGAGAGATTCTGGCGGATATTCCCAGCTGGCGGCTACTACTCACGTGCAGGTGATGCGTGCGCATTCGTCGCTTGGCTGGTCTTCATCATTATACCATTTATTGCAGTAGGGGTGAGTACAAGAACTTTCATGGGATCCTATGAACTGAATGTAATAGATTGTCGGGGGGCTTGTAATGCTTAGGCGTTCCTCCACCACCCATAAGAGGTGAGGTGAGGTGAAATTGGGTTTTACGTCGTGCTGGAGAATATTTCGCTCATATGACGACGTGCATGCGTGTGTATGTGTATGTGCGACTGCTTGTACTAGCCCAGACTTAAGCTGGTTTTATGGTGCTAGCCCACTGAGATACCATGCCGCAGTGAAGCATGAATACCCCACTCAGACACATTATACTGACTCCGAGCCGACCAGTCCTTGTTGTACCCATTAATGCCGAGCGCCAGGCAGGGACCAACAAGTACCATATTTTAACGTCTTTTGGTATGCCACGGTCGGGGATCGAACCCGCGACCTTCCGCTATCCGGGCGGACGCTCTAACCACTACACCACGGAGGTGGTCACCACCCATAAGACCCGCTAGTATTATCAATGAGCCATGCTGCCTTCGAAAGACAGTGCAACATTGTACTGCGATATAACTAAAATTAAATATGAGAATCCTATTCACCCCACCTACTACCACCCCCCACGACACACATTCTTTAGCATTTCATATGAATTATAATTCCTCTAAAACACTCTGTAAAATTACGCCAAAAAATAAAATCGTATATATTTTTTATCATATCAAGCAGAAAGTAGGCCCTAATGTGTATTTGTTTGTTGTTTAACGCCGCACTCAGCAATGTTCAATCTGTTTGACGTCGAAAAATAATCATCAGCATCATTGTCATGAGCATAATTATCATGAGCATCGATCTACGCAATTGTGACAACAATATGAATCAAGTCAGCGAGCCTGACCACCCGATTCCGTTAGTCGCCTCTTTCAGGCATGGGTTACTGACGGCAATTCTACCCTTCATGGGTTAGGCCCTAATGAATTTGATTGAATGACAGTGCTTATAAGTGTACAAAGATGTTCCATCCCGCTCATATGCTCACAGATTTACCTTTTAACTCGCAGTTAAAGAATTCGCCGATTAAAGAAATTATGGTAACGATTTTAAGTATACAGACTTGCTAATCATTGGCGTTTTTTTACCATTGCTTATTCTGTGGTAAAGTACGTTGTTTTACTCAACAGGTTGGTTGTTTCTGCACAAACAACATCAACATCGTGATCGCTGTTGTTGTCAGCCTAGCGATGACGTCACAGCTAGTTATGTCGTACGTGATATTCAAGAACGACAAGAAGTTCAAACGGTTGTGGTATGTTTCTAAAGTAAGTGTATGTCCTCTCTCTTGATTAACTATATACGGTATTAGTTACTCTAGAGGTGTGTTTTTGTTCATGTAGATCTAATAGTCACAGCGATCCATGCAGCATCGTGTCTTTGCAGGTGAACGTGGAACAATATCTCGGTTGGCAAAACCAGGTCAAGGACGTGAACTTGGAAAATGTGAACAACCTTGACCTTTTGTCGGCTGGTATACGCAAGAATCTCATCAAGAAATTAGCCAAACATCCAGGTTCGGTATTTTCCCCTTCTTTCTTCGTATGTGTCGAGCCCACTATTATAAGGGACGTTTAGTGTCTGAGAGTATCATATTGCATAAACGATACGCCCTTTAGGGGATTCTGGATTAGATTGAATAAATCGCAAGACATCTATGGTGGTCCTAAGAGAGACTTCCTTTGTCGGTTGTCAGACTCGGTGTCATCGTAACCCGGCGGCAAGGGTGGTTGCTCATGATATCAAACACTGGGTTGTCTGATCAAGACTTAATTATTGACTGCCTGGTGTTAAATAAGAGAATAATTGGTGAGAGCGGAAACAAAGAAACGGTACACTTTATTCTTTAGATTGGATTGTTAAGAAGAATGGATAATATGAAGCAGAATCATTTTTATGTGCAAATATGATCTTAATTAATATACTTACGTTTTCAGATGGCGTAACAGTGATGATATACACAAAATCTTTCTGGAAATGCCATGTGCTGTATCCAGTTGTCTCCCTTATAACGTTATCCGCCCTTGACCTTGTGGCTCTGATAGTTCAACTGGAAATGATGCGGAGGCCAGACAGTTAGTGAAGCACCCACCAATCAATGACACATTCCGTCCACGGGGTGACATCCAAACCAAGAGGTTCCCTTTCCTGACCATGAACACACCTGCATGATCACCTGCATATTTCAGTGACCATAAAACTGTTTGGTCTTCTGACGTTAGATTTGTGGCTGTAGATATAGTCACATCTGCCTTCATCGTCTTGACCGCCATGAGATTACACTGTGATATTAAACTGAACACTTACACACCTGATCTGATGATCATCGGATCAAAGCTCAGAACATATCAATGACCTGAATGTGCATTACTGGACAACTGATATATTTTTTCCTGTTGGATATGAAAGCATTGACTGTCAGTATATTCTAAGAACATTTTTTACGTTTTGTGTCGCTTTTGTCAGTGGGTACTTTAAGTAAAGGTCGCTATTGGTTGAGTTAAATTTCGTATGAAAGGATGTCCATGTAGAGACTCTTTGTCAGAAGATGCCCTTTGTGCCCAAAGTCTGGCGCCTAGAGGGATGCCGGGTAGAACATGCCCCCGTACCCAAAGACCGTCTCCCTGAAGGGATGCCGGAGCAGAATATAGGTCCTTTATATCCTACACCATGAGGATCATGAAGTCACACTGACCCTGACCTCAGACTGACTTCATAGGTCACGTCGTCTAACAGCCGAGACAGGATAATCCTCAGATTGCCGAATTTCAGGGAAGACATTGCTGACCAAAGCGTAAGACACATTTACTCAATGACATGGAACTTTCATTCTAAAACCAACTGCTGTGAAGAGGTTTTCATCGAAAGAGGATGTGAAATACATCGCTATCGAAAAAACATTTTTTATTTGTTTTATTTTTGGCCATATTTTGCCGGGCAGTTTTGCAAATCAGCCCGAAAACATAACTTGTTTCTGTCCCCTGCCTTCATCTTTACATGGCATGGATGATAAACTGGGAAAGTAAACGCCTGTGTTTGTTTTCTATATATTTAAAAAAACAAGATAAATATTTTGTAAAGTGTTTTTCGTGGTGTGCCTGGGATATCACTATAATCATAATTTCTGGAAGTCACAGTCCAAAATTATATCATTTTCAAATTATTTACTTGATTATTTCTGATGATAATCTCAAAGCACCAGGTGTGTACTTACTTTTGTACGTCAGTATTGTCAATGACCAGTACGGATTTTATGTACGTTTTAAATGATGTGACAGTGTTTACTTTTGGATGTGTTTTATGTCATATTTTATGCCAGATATAAATTTAGATGTATTGTACCAGATGTTTTATCAATTGCAATATAACTATGGAAGTAGAAACAATGCAATAAAACTATATTCACGATTTTCATGATATTGTGCCCGCTGGTGGGTTGTGTTTTGTGGTCTAAGGGTGCGACGTGCAAATCCTTTTGCAGAGGTCGACTCTGTTAGGATCCGCAGATTACCAGGATCCACTGATATGTCAGGCTCCTCGATTAGCTGCACGGGCCAGACATTTCTTCAGCCTTAGTTATACTGACAAATGATGTCCCACGTCATTAAAAATCAACAGCGTTACTACAAAGGCTGTTTTTCTGAATATAACAGTATTTTCTACTGAGGAACTTTTGATATGGAAGTCACGTGAGTGTGATTTTACGTTGCTTTTATCAGTATTGCAAAAATCTTAACCCGAACTATTTTAATTCATCGTATTTATTGATTTCAGTGCCGTGATATTGCTGGAATATTGCTAAAAGTGACGTAAAACTAAACTCACACATGCACTCATTTATCTACAAGTAGTTTGATTCAAGCCATTCCAAATGTATATTTGTCTGCAATATCAAATAGCGATACCAAGCGGAGGAAATAACATCAGTTGGCTTCACATGCACATTGTGACCATGTTGGGACTCAAACCCAGACATTCGCCGTGGAAAGCTTATGCTGTATCGTAACACTAAACCCTCGCTTCAGCCCTTCTTTGAAATCAATGTATACATCAACAAATGTCAATCAAGTTTGACGCGTTGTATATTTCGCGCAGGTGTTCTCCAGCATTGACACGTGATGTCATGGTTACGAGTTGGCTCACTTCCGTTGCACGCAGACGCTCAAGACGAAGCAGACGACGTATGTGTGAAAACTGCACCGGTCAAATTATACAAAGACTTTTGTGAGAATATATGTAAAATGGAGATGTACACGATCTTTAGGCACTATTCTAAAAGCACTACAACAAACGCTTTGAAAAAAACTGGTCGTGATGGTTTTACAAAGGTGATTCACGCTTTCTTCAAGGTGATTTCTTTCCCTGCTATGATGTTTGAAGGGCGATGGAAACAACGATAGGGTAAGTGCAGAAATATATAATTCAACAATAAATATTTGGCCACATATTGGGACCCGCTAAAGAATCTATACTCAACTGCTTGCATTCAGTACTTTAAAATTGGTGGTAATCTACCTAACATAAGTAATTCGAGGGATTAAACAGGCCAGAGCTACAGATAACGTTTTGGGTCATTGAGTTATGTACTCACTTGTGTTCATCTCAATTGAGTATTCTAATTTGTCTTCGAGTAACCAAATAAATTGTACTCACCTCACTCAAACTCAATTGGGTAGTTTGCCATTTTCCTTTAAATTTGAAAATATAGTGAAGTTTAAAAGTTATTGTTTGTTATTTATGTTTGATCTGTAATATGAGAAACGATAAGAAAGTCAAGTTCATCTCCTGAAATAGAACTTCTCAGTATACTTCAGTTGTTTTATCTAGCCACCGGTACGCAAGCTAAGATTTGACATTTTTGTGTGTACGCATGTAAGATCACATTTATTGAGTATTTACAAACATTCAATAGACTGAATAGAAATTGAGTTTTCACATAAATATTTGCGTAATTTACGCAGATACGCAGCTTATCTGTACCTCTGTCAGGCACCCTATAATGTGTCTTCCGATATGAAGAAATCACTGACTTAAGCTGTATCTAGTTTGTAAACTGCTACTAGATTGTGAACAGATTCCGTGACGTGATACAGCAGTTTACCGAATCGTGCTGTCAATATACTGATTGTTGTTGTTGTTGTTGTTGTTGTTGTTGTTTAACGCCGCACTCAGCAATATTCCAGCTATATGGCGGCGGTTTAAAAATAATCGAGTCTGGACCAGACAATCCAGTGATTAACATCATGAGCATCGTTCTACGTTACTGGGATACGATGACATGTGTCGACCAAGTCAGCGAGCCTTGTTCAATCGATATGGTTTATCCTGTGTAATAACTATCAATAACAATGAAACAGAGGAAACTAACTAATAATTTGCGTGAAGAGAATGAATTTTGAAGAGTCGTTCAATTATCTAACATTTGTAAAACCTACGTTATTAAGCACAGACAGTGACACTCAAGTTGAAAACGTTTTAATGAAATTTGAAACAATAACATATTTGCAATACATTCAGCCATAATCTCGCACCACAGACCAACACAAAGTATCGTTAATGAACCTGTATCGATAAACATCATGAAATGTGTGATCCTTAACACCTTAAAACATTTAATAAGCTTTGAAACAATAACATATATGCAAAGAAGGAGTGATTATTTTTAGTTTCGTATTTTTAGTTTCGTATCACTTGGCTATGATTATAGCTACTGATAGGTTATGAAGATTTTTACTTACAAAACAAACACAAATTCCCATAAAGTAAACGTCGTATCAATGTTATTAGCACCTTTTGAAGCGGATGTAAAATCACTAACCTAGCCTGCCATCCCTGATATAAACTGTACTACGAAAGAAAACATGGAAGTAATATACTCATTACGTTTAATCTACGTTTAAGTTCCGTGTGTATCCAGTGTTAGAACTGGCCATGTTTGTCGCGGGGGTCGAATGTCCCGGGTGGTCAGGATCGTGATTGGTTCATAAATTTTCCCCAACGGTGTGATACGACGTCCATAATATCAACCATACGTTTGTCTGGTCCATAATCGATTATTTACACCCTGACTATGTACGGCTGGAAAATACTTGTGTGTGGTTTTATATAACATTCATTCACCGTATTTATTTATTGATATTACAATATTGGCCAAAATTCAAATATAGTATACAGTATATGATGTATTGAGTACAGCAGAGGTACATAGAGAATCTCACCCGAGTGTCTTTTGATATCAAATATATCACCACGAGTTGATAAAGTTACAAATATCCGAAGCTTGCCGAGGATATTTTTACTTTTATCAACGAGTGGTTGACATATTTGATATCAAAAGACACGAGGGTGAGATTCTATTTATCATCAAAAATCACTCTTCATTAGTTTTCATTGAAAAAAGTACATCTCTTACCACCGTTCTGCCATTAGACATGCAGTGCAGCGATGTCATAGCATTGTGACGTCATCATGGTCATGACGTCATAGCATTGTCAGGGTATTATACAAAATCTACTGTCAAAACGATATCTCCTAGGAGAAAATCTACTGTCAAAACGATATCTCCTAGACAAAACGATATCTCCTAAGAGATATCGTTGGATCTCACACAAGCGATATCTCCTGTGGAACACAGTTTTGGATGATAAATCATACATATTACCCTGTCAACTTCAAAATCAACGGTCGATCGTTTTGTCCCGAATGGCGACAAATCTCCTTTTGTGTCAGAACACAAATGTATGATGGTAGTGAGGAACATTCACTGATCATGTCCAAGTTCCAAGTTTCTGTAAATGCTGGTGTATCAACAACTGTCGAGGAATGAGGAGCCAACTAAACATGCTTTGTTATAGATAAACACAGAACAATACAGATATACGTACAGTTCGAATATTGGCCCCGCCACCAACAGGAATAGCTAGTTAAGGCTTGTTAGCTGGTTCTTATACAACGAATACAGCAAAACCGCGTTTATAGGTCAACGGTAGGTCAGAACCCAGTTCGACACGATAGACTATACTCGACTCTAACTTATAAATGTCGACATTTTATCCATATCGATCTGCGGTGTACAGATCGGCTAGTAGGTTATACCCGTATAACTAAGGTGCCTGGGTATGGGTTACACACTACCACTGTCAGTGATAACATAGACTACATTCACAGACCCGCTAGAATTTGTCTTCAGCAACCCATGCTTGTCGTAAGAGGCGACTTACGGGATCGGTGGTCAAAGCTTGGTTAACACATGCCATCGTATCCCAATTGCGTAAAACGATGCTCATGCTGTTGATCACTGAATTGTCTAGACCAGACTCGAGTATTTACGGACATATAGTTGGAGTGCGGCGTTGCCGATAACAATAAGGGGTATGTAATAATTCATGAAAGGATGAGAGCACGGGTGTTAGCAGGTTGCTGACAGATTATGCAAGACCCTTTAAATGTAGATACCGTTTACCATCTTGTCAAATTTTCGATTTTTGCCATTTTGCATGCAGTATTTGTATAGTTCAGCGTGTCTCTCTCTCTCCTGCCATCCCCACCCCTAACTGACAATCAATTCATTTCAAACTTCTGTGCGAGAGACACTGAAGAATTACGGATAAGAGTGATGCTAGACCATAGGCGGATCCAGAGGGGTGTGGGGTGTGCACCCCCCCCCCCCACACACACACACACACACTTTGTCCTGAAAGGTTATTAAATGACCTTTTCTCAATAGTGTGCACCCCCCCTTCTCAAAAAGCTGTATCCGCCCCTGCAGACACTTGGTTTTATCAGAATAGATGGAAATTTAACTTCAATAATGTGAATACCTTTTAACAGAGCAATTTTTACATATGTTAGAGTGGCATCTAATTGTTATTGTTGCGAAATGTTTAATATCTTGAATTTAAATTGTCTTATAAACACTTGAAATATTACAAATACTAGACATAGTTTATACCTAGACTCGATCCGTGTGTCCATGTTTCATGGCCAGTGTATTCTGTGGGCAGCAGTAACCACCGCTGGTTAGACTGTGTGTATACAACAATAGCATATAGGTAATTTCTTATGCTAGCACTGCAATCTATGAGACTCGGTTCGTCACAGTCGCCTTAGCCAGCAGCTATTCGTTGTGCAGAGTTACGTCCCTTTGGCGTGCCGGCAATGGTTTCGAATCCATACCTGTGCTCGATCGTTACATAGAGTAAACGTTGAAGATCTGTATCTTTACGGGCTTTCATCATGACACGCCGTAATATTACGAGCGGCGTTAAGATAAACCCGCTCACTCTTCCTCTGCAATTAAATGTAATGACATAACTGGACTACAGTTACAAGCGGCGTCTAACCAAAATCTCTGTGTCTTTTGTACTGGTAATACTGCTAATTAAACAATTTATATGGGCAGAGCTCACATCTAA